GACTCGACGGCACTTAACAACAACAACAACATAGGGTTTCCAAGGCTGAACATCTTTGCAGGAGTAGAAAGCCTCATCTTTCTTCTGCAGGTCACCTGTTGAGCTTGTGGTTCGCAGTTCAGGGCTTATCCTACGAATCCATGGTTCTCCTAATATTCTATTTTAAGAAACATAAAAAGCACAGTTTTAAAAATAAGCAAATCACTTTGACTCTTGTAGACTCAGACTTGCTCTCCTTTTTTATTTCTTTACCACCCCACACTCTAAAAAGAATAACTCCTCTTTTCAAGAAGCACAAAAGAGAAAATTTTCACACATCTTTGTAGTAATTCTACCATGTGATTCCTCACACTTCAGTTCTAAAGAAACTTCCCTCATTTTTGTTTTTTAACTTTTGAATGTGAATTGAGTACAGGTTTACAGAGCAGATCCTCAAATTTACATTCAATACATCCTACCCTTCTTCTCATTTCAATAGATTGCAAATCCACACCAAGTTTTAATTCCTGGAAGAGATGGAAACAGAAAGAATCTGGTCACTACAGAGGGCTATGGTTTGACCCTCAGTCCCTATGGATATCAAATGCTTTGCAGAAGGGAGGGAAAGGGCCTTGGTGGGAGATATTTCTGAGGAGATAGATATCCCCAGACTGGATTTAGGGTGAGGGGACTCTTGAGTGTGACCCAAGGTCATATCAAAGGTGACATCACAACCCAGCATAGCACTCTCTTCAAACTGGCCCCCACAAAGAAATGTGATCAACATCAGTTCGTTGTTTTTGAGTCTGTTGGTGCACAGGGTCCTGATTTAGTAAGGAGGGTGCACTGTTCTCATTTAATTCCATTTCTCCTCTACTCTTCCTCTCTACTTCTCTTTCTACCCATTACATGAAACATTTATTCACTCCTGAAAGTTACTGAATTATCTACAATCCAGAACTTTCTCTCCCAAACTTTTTGTTATTGAGGAATTAGGAACACTACAAGGAGAAAGTAAAAGGTTCTTAACAGATACAAAAATTCTAGAAAATTTGATGAAAAGTATCTATTCTATTGACATCTTTCACTTTCAATTGCTGCCCTCACCACACCCTTGCCACTACAGAGACATATGTAAGTGCTACTCTCCCCTCTCCAATACATAACCTGCATCCTCTTCGCTAACAAGTCTCTCCCTCAGAATGGTTTTTGATAGGATGTAAAACCCAGAGAAATACCAACTATTACCCCCACCCATTAGGAATGCAGAGACAATATCAACAAAGATGAATCTAATGGCCAAATCAAACCAGCAGGGACCAAATGATGGTCTGTTAAACCTTCAGACTTTGATTTTGTCAAAATTTAAGAGAACATTCAAATTCATGGAAATTAACTTAGAAGAGCAGACTCAAATGTCCTTGTGCTGCAGCCATCACTCATGAATACTTACATAAAATGTCCCTGCCCACACCCAATATGAACTAAATATAGTCCAGTAAGAAGTTGAGGTCCAAGGGGTTGGCTACCCTTCATGGGTCAGGCATTACAATCGCCTACATGATGGAGAAGGACATCAGGAGAATAGAAATAAAAGGGAGAAAGAGTGTGATCTGAGTGAACATTTCCATCATGGTAGGTTAGCCTCTGAGATACTTTTTTCTTCTAAGAAAACCAGAATCACATATCAGAAATACAAACAGAAACGTACTTTCAGCACTTCTTTAAATTTCCCCTAGATTTCATGAATTACATATAAAATAGGAACATTTGTAGAGTCATTGATAATATTACAAGGCCTGAAATCAGACCCCTGCAATCAAATCAGAAGTGTGGATCCAGGGACACAGGAGAGAGAACATTAGAAGAGTAATTATTGGTATATAGATGTTAGGCACACTTCCCCATTTCCCATGGTATCAGAAATTGACTAAATTGACCTTCCCTGGGTGAACCAGCCTTACACATTTTGAGTTCATGGACTGGAGTGTGATCCACCCCAGCCTACCCAAAGAGTCAAGTCAATCCATGGATTCAACTCTGGGGTCACAGTGATTCCTTAACCTAGGTCAATAAAAGTCAAGTGCAAGATGTTGTTGAAAACATTGGGAGATGTGCTCTCTTTCACTATGTGTGTTTTGTGTGTTTTTTTAAGGATGTAGAAAACAAAATGGTACCTAAGATAGGAGCTATGATGATAATGCATGTCTTATATGCATTTAGTACATAGCCCTGCCTCCTTACTTCCTTATGTGTCCCTCTACCATAACCTTCACCATATTGTGGTTCTATCTCATCCACCAGACAGTTGCACCCTAACAAAAGGAGACACATATCCAACATGCTCCATCCTGGCACAGAAAAAGGGCCTAAACACACATCTTCTAGGAAAATTATCCTGAATAACTCCGCAATGTTGAAATGAAAACATTGATGGTTTTGTCACTGGGAACACTGGTTTCTGAGACTCTAGTACTTCTACTGGGTAGTGTTATATTACAACCTACAGTTCCCGTCTTCTAGCCCTCGACCCTGCTCTGAGTCATCAGCTGTGGGTGCTTAGGTGGAGACTGCTGAATCACCCACAAAGCACTCAAAAAACGTCAGCTGGCAGGGTGCAATGGGGGTGAAGAGCATCTTTTGTACAAAGCCTTTCATTATGAATCACCACAAAACCAGAGGGAACCATGAGATCACTGAGCCCCCCTCTACCGTCTTCCTCTCTTAGGGGATAAAAACAAGCCAGGAGGAAGCCCCTGAAACTCTGACCTGGACAATCAGCCTGGGAAGATGCAGCTCCTCCTGCTCCTCTTAGCCTGCATGCTGGTTCCTAGAGCAAAGACAGGTAAGTGACTGACCCCACCCTCCAGACCCCACCCAATGCCATAGGAGGCACTGATCTTTGCCTTCTGGACATTTCTGATCCATCTATCTACTAGAAAGATTATTACTACCTCCAGCCCCACTGCAGGCCCCAGTATAATTTTGGATAAGCTATCTGCTGGACAGGTGGAACATCTGTTCTTAAGATGAGGCAGGGGTATTCTACCTTCCCCAGCTTCTACAATTTTCATGTGGAAACTGGAACTTTCTAGAAGTGCAAGGCAATTGAGTAGGGAACAAGAAAGGAGAAAAATTCAAATGTCCTTGCACAGGGTAAAGTGGATCTGGCTTCTGTATCTGGGTTGAGACAAGACCTCCTTTCATTCTCCCCTCTGCCTGGAAGAGACATACACAGCTCAGTTGACTCTGGAACTGGTAGAACCACTGTCCCTTTAAAACTATTGATCTTTGTTTTGCCCCAAGACCCTTTAGTCCATTTCTCCAATGCTACATATTGCTTCTCATGCTTCAGCATTTTCCTTCTTTTTAAGCACAGGTCTCTAACTCTTGCAGACCCCAAATTCTCTGCTATCCAGAATCCCATGACCCCAGCTACCTTCTTCCAGTAATTGGTAGTTATTCCTTCAGAAAGCCAATGAACATATGCTGGGCACCCACTCTATCAGGCTGTAGGAAATGGGATATAATACAATTTAGACCCCAAACGCATGTCCTGCCCATGTGAAAGCAGTCCCATTCCAGATATCAGAGTATGCTAAGGATCTTAGAAATTTATTTCAAACCAAGAAAGACAAAGAGAGGAATTTTCAGTGGACTCTGGAACATCCCTAAGACAACTATGCTCATCTCCAACTATGTGCAAAATAGAGATGACAAACCAAAGACTGTTCTTTCCTTGTTCAGAGGAGAGGCTAAGGCCTTTTACTCCAGCCCACCCCCCACCCCCCACCTCAGGCCAACCCAGACTTGTAAATGCATAGGAATTCTGAAGCTGACAAGCACATGCTTGCTGTGGGGCTCAGTGGTACACACAGCAGACCAGAGTTCTTCTTCAGGGGAAATCATCGGAGGACATGAGGCCCAGCCCCACTCTCGTCCCTACATGGCATATGTTCAGTTCTTGAAAGGCATAAAACGAAAATGTGGTGGTTTCCTGATCCGAGAAGACTTTGTGCTGACGGCTGCTCACTGTTTTGGAAGGTGAGGAGCAGCACAGAGCCCACATTCCCCTGGGTAGCTGGACTTTCTTCAAGGGCACTTCATAACACAGAGTGGGAAAGAGGGCAGCTAATTTTGTGGGGAGAGGAACAAGTCTGTGCCGAGCACCTGGTGAAGAAATGGACTCTAAAGTGACCAACTTTGCCATATTTAGAACAGGGAGCATGAATTTGGGGTCAAAATGCAAACAAACTTGCCAGTTTTCTTGGGAGCAACTTATCCCTGAGAACACTGGTGAAGTTACCAAGGACTCCAGCATCTTGGGCTACAAGTAGCAGAAAGCATAGTGAGCTCAGTCCCAAGCCCTCCTGTCCCCTCCATTTCCATAAGGTACACGCCTGTCCTGTCCTGCCTATCATCTGCTGTCCCCACATTCTGGGCTACAGCTCCTGTGACTCCCCCTGCCCCACTCCTCTCTCTCTACAGATTCATGAATGTCACCCTGGGCGCCCATGACATCAGTCAGAATGAAGAGACACAGCAGTTCATCCCTGTGAGAAGAGCCATCACCCACCCAGACTATAATACAAAGACACATGTGAATGACATCATGCTCCTACAAGTGAGGCATAACCCCCCTACTGCACCTTGCTTTCCAGGATCCAGGGAGTTTCTCTTTCCAGCATGACCCCTGTCTTTGCCATCTTTCTATCTTGGCTGCCTGTTTGGTTTAGGGCCTTGAATGAGCAGGAAAATGCTGCAGACAGTCAGAGTCTCTAGACTCAGCAGGTTGTTGTTGACCTGGACTTTCTTGTCTCTCCCTATCAGTTGAAGAAAAAGGCCAATTTGACAAAAGCTGTAGGCATACTCCAGCTACCTAAGACAAAGACCCAGGTAAAACCAGGGAAGACATGCCGTGTTGCCGGCTGGGGCAAGCGCTCGCTGAATGACAGACCATCACCAACACTGTATGAGGTAAACCTGACTGTACAGAAGGACCAGATGTGTGAGTCCCGCTACCCCAAATATTACAAGAGCGCCTATGAGATATGCGTGGGAGACCCGAAGAAAAAGTCTTCTTCCTTTCAGGTGGGATGTAGCATCTACCTAGCCTAGCTCTAGTGAGAAGGATGTGAGGGGAAGGGACCAGGAAACCCAATCAGTGAGGGAACTCCTTCACCCACTAGCTTGTGACTTTTCCTTGGGAAGAGAAGAGGGGAACAGTCTCACTGAGGAGTCACTAGGGTTTCTGCTGGCCTCCCAATGGTGACTTTGAATAAGGCCCTCTTCCAAAAGGAAGAATTGAGAACTCTCTGCCCCATTCTAAATGTCCTTGGATGATACAAACTGTTTGTGTTCAGTTACTAAACTAAAGTAGATGCTTCAAGCACAAGAAAGAGGTGTCCTATAAACAAAACCCTATGGAGCAGCTCTGCTCTGTAACACATGGGGTGGTCATGATTCTCAAGCAACATGACACTATCTCTTTGTTGTTTTGTTGATTTGGGGGAGGGGGAAGCTTGCTGGCCCCAGGGCACAAATACCAGAAAATAGCTCACCCGCATATGAAGTAATTACAAACAGGCATCAAGCAACGCAAGAGCTGGCAGCCACTTTTGTTAGTAGACTGTCCTCTATGTTGGATTTTGTTGCACTCTCCTGCCTCTGTTGACTTAAACAGTAGCTGGAACCAAAGGTCTCACAGTCCCTTATAGGGAGCGCATCCTGGACCTAGGAGCAGAAGGTAGACACAGCCTGGGTTGAGATGAATCAACAACAATATCTAGGCTTAGAGTTTGATAGCTGAGAATTCCCAGAGGCCTACAGACCATGTTTTTTCACACCATACAAGGTGGCCTTCTCCTGGAGTGTGAAACTTGACAGGGCAGCAGAAACAGGAGGAGAATAAGCTCAGTCCTTCCCCTCTCTGTTCACAGGGAGACTCTGGAGGCCCGCTCGTGTGTGACAACATGGCTCAGGGCATTGTCTCCTATGGGCTCAACGATGCTACTCCTCCACGGGTCTTCACCAAAATCTCGAGTTTCCTGATATGGATAAAAAAGACCATAAAGAGCCTCCAAATGAAGAAATCAAACTGAGCCCCTCTATGTATGATCATATTCTCAGGAGGTCCAGCACCTTAATAAATGTGTCCTGGCTGAGAAAAGAGGGTTGCTGTCTTATTTATACTTTGACTTTCTTTCAAATTCACCATGTGTGGACTAAGTAGGACATGCTCGTAATTCTACACTGTGTTCTGATTTTGTGTGTGTGTGTGTGTGGTCCCTACCACATCCCAAAATCCCCATGCAAAATATTCATGCATCTTCTTATTACTTATTCTTGTATCTTCATGGCCTACTTTTCTCCAGAGCTGAGGTTGAACACCCTCAAGAGAAAACACAAACCTCTCTGGTCCTGGATTTGGATGTACTTCTTACTTCCTTTCCATGTGCTACATGCCAGGCAGAAAGGAGATGCTCGATGGGGTCTGGAGGTCAAATAGGCATACCATGATCTCAGGGAAGAACAAGAGCAGGACATTTCCCTCCTATAGCTAGAGAAACTGGCAATTTTGGAGGGAAGGTCTGTGAAAAGTTCTTTGTTCTCTACTGGACTTAGTCTCCTTCCTACCCATTTCTGCCCTGCTCTGAACTTAGGGCCCAGCCCAGACCTCAGTTCTCTAGCCACTTTTTATCCTTCATTCCCACTTCACATAGAAAGTTCTCAGAATCCGCCAACTCCTGCTCCCTCCAGACCACACTGATCTAAACTGGACTGTCTCCTCAGCTTGCCACCAAGGACATCCAGAGCCCTGTGAGGGTTCCAGCAGTGCCTCACCACTGGGGTGCCAACTCAGTCCATGCTCTGACAGAGAAGAACCTCAGAGGGTTCAAGGGTTCCTAGCTAGTGCTAGGAAAGTAGGATCACTCTCCAGAACCCTTGGTCCCAAAGCTCAACTAGACAGAACCAAATCACCCCCATCCAATTCAACACTTAGTTAAGTGCCTCCCTGCCGGGGACTGGCCTCGACATAGTTGTTTGGTTGTTCACGAGTGTTTGGTTCACGAGGAGGGGATATCTGGCGGTGATAAAGATATAGAAAGAATACACAGAGAGAGACAAAGAGGCAACCCGAAACCAGAGTGAATGCTGGACTGGCATCAGGCAGATCCTGCGTTGCAAACATCTCAGCCACGAGGGCCATAATATCCTGCATAGTAAACATCTTGGCTAAGCAGGCAGTATGGTTGCAATGCTGGAATGAGCACCCTGCATGCTGTAAAGCACGCCTTGCCGGTCGTAATGCACCTGGATTCGTTCTGCGCCTCTGTTTTATTTAGGGGAGGAACCATACACAAAGCTAGGAGGTACTAAGACAAGGTACAGCTGTCAATCTTACTTTTCCAGACATTCAGGCAACTTTACATCATACTTTGCAGGTTCAGATCTCATGACCACAACTTGGTTTCTCAAGCTTAATTAACATACCTTTTAGCACCTAGCCTCAAATGGGGGGAGGAAAAGGAGGATTGGGAGGATTCCCATTGTGTCGGCTACCCAGCCCAGGTGAATGGGCACCAGGTGAATAGGCAGCACCTGGAAACACTTTAGGGAGGGCATTCCTATTGTCCTTGGAACAGAGACCGGGGAGCCACCCAATTTACTTTGAATGAATTCTCTGAGGGAAAAACTTTGCCTGTTTGGAATTTTACAGTCTTGGCTTTTAGGAAAATATTACATTTATCTGTGGATATCAAGGGCTTCATGCATGCAATTAATAAAACATAACTAAACACTAAGATGAAAAACAATTTGCTATGACTGTCAGATGGCTAGAATCTGTTCCCCCGAGCCTGCGGCCTGCAACACTCGGGCCTTGTAGGCCTCGAACTTCTGACCAGGTCAACACAGTCTGCAACACCTCCCATAAACTCAAGGTCCACTGTCTGTCCCTCTTCATCATGACTGTCCTCTAGGTTAAGCTTCCTGGATAAAAGCATGGATTATGTCAATCATTGGAATTAGAAAGGACTTGTCTCTGCGGTAGGAAAGGAAAGCACAATTGTTGCCACAATCAACCAACAAATAAACCTGAACACCTACCAAGTGGCAGACATAAAAGTGAGTGTAACAAGTCTATCATCAGCACCCAAGTGAAACTGTGTTGAGTATTTTCATTGAGATTGCCTAATGTCTCTCCCTTCCACCATGTGTGTCCATATGGCCTAGATCTATGTAGGAAAGACATAGGAATAGACATATTGCACTTTTATTTTTCACTGATGGTTGTGATTTGCATGAATGATCATATGTGACCCAAGAACAAAATCTATGGATTTGGAAATGACTGTAGTTTAGAAACAAAATTTTCTAACTGTATTCACTGAAACAACTTCACCTAAGAGACAGGATAGCTATGAACATAATCTTACAGATTCAATTTTGGGAAAAATCATTCATATATTTGCCTGAATACATTAGATTCCAACTTTAAACATCCATTCTATTGGACTGATCAGAAACATAATTCCAGTCATTACTGCAAGTTCTTGCTGTGCAGAATCAAACTAGAATCAGAGATCCCAAAATGGAAATTGCTTCTAATCGTTAGTCCAGCATGGCTACTGATATATCCAAAGTTTCTAGAAACACCTTGAATTCTCAACATTGGAAGTTCTTTCCTTAGGGGCCATACATACTGAATGTGACTTTTGCTGAATATGGGCTCTATGTGCCAGGTACAACCAGCAGCCACCTCCTCTAAGATCTTGCTGTTAATATGGGATACTGTCCGGAAGCAGAATGTCAGTTCCATCCCTGCTATAATGCCTTCCTGCTACCAATACACACAACACTACACATATTCGTGACATGGAGTAATTCTCTTCCTCTGGCAACATGCAACCCTAAAACATATGCCTTCTCACACTGTGTCCACAAACCACGCTGCAGTACAATTTCTTAATGACCTTGGGCACTTTTACAAGGAAAGAGCAGTGAATGTCACAAAGATTCGATTTGAGGATGGAAAAATATTCCTTCATTTCGGGTATAACAAGGACCTGGTTCCTTAATTCGAAAAGACAACAATAAAAAGAGGAAAATGCAGAAAGCAAAACAAAACAAAAATAGTATATAGAATGTTACCTACTCACATATATATTCAGATTAAGTATTATATTTACTTTGATGAAATGGTTCTTTGGTTTAAAACAAATTAGAAAACTATTGTTACAAGCCCACATTCTCTTTTGAGAGATAAAGAAACAAAATTCCAATCAAAGGTATCACAGAAGTTAAAACAAAAACAGGACCCGTGACCTCCAGGCCAGCAAGAAATCTTAAATGTCTTCTTCTCACACTCACTGTGTGATCACTTCCTGGTATTCCTGGGTAAGAGATCATCTTCCACTCAGATATTTACCTGGAGAGATCCTCTGGACTCCTTGGCAGCCATTGTGCAGACCCACAAAGAGTTAGGTCCTAGGACAGACAGACAGACAGGGAGGACTGCTAAATTGGGTCCTGGAGAAGACAGACTTAAATGTATGGGAAGATCTTCCTAGTTTTTTATGGGGAACATGAATTGGTGTGATTCTGTCTTCCCTGCTCACCACCACTCTTTTTTTCTTTTTTCTTTTTTTTAAGTTTGCCTTATTTATTTTCTTTATCCGTTGTCTCACTATCTAAATTTATGAAGACTGAACTTATGAACAAACAAACACAAATTCTTGCTGTAGGAAAGATTATGTATAAATGCATAAAATAAAAGTTCCTATCATCTATTTTTTGTTGCTTTTTGCTCTTAAGTGCTGTCTAGGTGGTTCTCAATTGAAATGACCCTGTATAAAGTTTCCAAGGCTATAATTCTTTTTAGGAGTAGAAAGCCTCATCTTTCTCCTGCAGATCACTTTTTTTGCACGATCCACTGACCTTGTGGTTCATAGTTCAGTGCTTATACTACAAATCCACAATTTTCCCAATAAATTATTTTAAGAAAAATTAAAAGCACATTTTAAAAAATAAACAAATCACTTTTACTCTTCTAGACACAGATTTTTCTCATCTTTTCTATTTCTTTACCTTCAACACTCTTAAAAGAATGACTCTCCTCTTATCAAGAAGCACAAAAGAGAAATTTTTCACACGTTTCTCCTGATTATACCATGTATTTTCTCTTAGTTCAATACTAGAGAAACATCCCCCATAATTCTTTTTTAACTTTTTATTGTGAATTGAATAAAGATTTACAGAGCAGATCATCAGTTTTACATTCAACAAATCATACACTCCATTTCATTTCAATAGATTACAATCCACACCATGTATTGTTGTTGTTATTGTTGTTGTTGTTGTCAGGTGTCATTGAGTCGGAACCAACTCATAGTGGCCCCATGCACAGCAGAACGAAACAATGTCCGATCCTGGGCTAACCTCATTACCGCTGCCACACTTGACGCCATCAATGATGCCACTTGGCCGATCCATCTCGTTGGGGGTCTTCCTCTTTTTCTCTGACCCTCCATCTTACCCAGCAGGACATCCTTCTCTAGCAACTGTTCCCTCCTGACAATATGCCCAAAGTATGAAAGACGAAATTTAGCTATCCTGGCCTCCAAGGAGCACTGTGGCTGCACTTCTTCCAAAACAGATCTATTGGTTCTTTTGGCAGTCCATGGCACTTTTAATATTCTCCTCCAATACCATAATTCAAAGGCATCAATTCTTCTACGGTCTTCCTTATTCACTGTCCAGCTTTCGCATCCATATGAGGCTATTGAAAATACACACCATATATTAGCTACTAACAAAGATGGCAACAGAAAGAATCTGGTCACTACATAAGGTTATGGTTTGATCTTCCGTTCCTATGGATATGAAACGCTTTGGGAAAGGGAGGTAAATGGCCTTGGTGGGAGATATTCCTAGAGAGATTGATAATCCCCAGACTGGGGTAAGGAGTAGGGAGCTCTTGGTGTGACCCAAGGTCATATCAAAGGGAACACCACAACCCAGCATATCACTCTTCTCCAACTGGCCCCCACCCAGAAATGTAGTCAACATCAGTAGATGAGTCTGTTGGTGCACAGTGTCC